GAGGATGAGGATGATAATGATGATGATGATGATGATGATGATGATGACGATGATGATGATGATGATGGTGGTGGTGGTGGTGGTGAGCATGATGATGTTGATGATGAGGAGGTGGAGGAGGAGGCGGATGAGGAAGAGGATGATGATGATGATGATGATGATGATGATGATGATGATGATGATGATGATGATGATGATGATGATGATGATGATGATGATGATGATGATGATGATGATGATGATGATGATGATGATGATGATGATGATGATGATGATGATGATGATGATGATGATGATGATGATGATGATGATGATGATGATGATGATGATGATGATGATGATGATGATGATGATGATGATGATGATGATGATGATGATGATGATGATGATGAGGAGGAGGAGGAGGAGGAGGAGGAGGAGGAGGAGGAATAGGAGGAGGAAGAAGGAGGAGGCAGGAAAGGAGGAGTGAAGGAACGGACGATGACGAAGAGGGTGAGAAGTCTTGTTCTGGAGATATTATGTTATTGTGAGAGGTTCTAGAATGACGACTAAGGCAATCTTAGGGGCTCTCTTGGGGCTCCCGTGGGGCCTCCCGGGGCCGTCTTGGGGCTCGTTTTGGGGGTCTTGTGGCCCTCTTGGGGCTCACTGGAGGGGTCTGGGAGGCCTCTTGGGCCCCATGGCTCGAAAAGAGGGGGGTACCTCAATTCAGGTCCTCCCCTCGGAGTCTTAAAATGGCTCCCGGAACTAGGGGGAACTCATGTTTTTTAGGCTTCTCGCTTTGATTGACAAGCGCCCTCTGACACCTTGGGGCTCTCCTCCTTAGAGGCCCACGGGGGGGGGGTAGGGGGAGGGGTCAAGGCGCCCTCCCCACTCGCAAGCCGTCTCGCTCACTCCCACCCGCCCTCCCAACACATACGTAGCACCCGAGCCTGGCCCGAGCCGCAGCATATGCAGCAGTCTTCTTTGGATGGCCAGCTACTGGGGGCCAATCCGCCGCCGCCGCCGCCGCCCGCCGCCGCCGGCTCCGCGCCGCTGCCGGCTCCGCGCCGCCGCCGCCGCCGCCGCCGCCGCTGTCCGCCGCTGCCGCCGCCACCGCGCTGCCCGCCGCCCCGCCGCCGCGCCGCCGCCGCTGCCCCCGCTGCCAAATCGCCGCCGCCGCAGCCGCTGCCGCCGCAGTCGCTGCCGCCACCGCTGCCGCCGCCGCCGCCGCCGCCGCCGCCGCCGCCGCCGCCGCCGCCGCCGCGGCCCCCGCAGCCGCCACCGCCGCAGCCGCCGCAGCCGCTGCCCCCGCCGCAGCGTCGCAGCCGCCGCCGCCGCCAAGTGTGCTCTGTATTGTTTTTTGACAGGATGGTGGGGAGAGGCCGCAGCGGGTTCGTTGCGCATGCTCCGGATTTGGAGACACGGTGTGTTTTGTATTGTTTTTTGCCAGGGATGGTGGGGGCAGAGTGCGTTTTGGATTTGTTTCAAGGTATGGTGGGGGGGGCCCGCATGGACCTGGGTTGGCTCCCAGTCGCCTGGGAGAGGGGGTGTATACTAATAGGGAGCAGTGATCAAGCTTCCTATCTGTCCTAGCTGACTCCCACCCGCCCTCCCAACGCATAGCGGTCGTCTGTGGATGGGCAGCTGTTGGGAACCAAAGCCGACCCCAGGTGCGCGACGCTTGGGCGAGGTGCGCCACGCGTGCCAGGCGCGCCACGCGCGCCAGGTACCCCTGGGGCCCGAGCGTGCCAGGCACGCCTGGTGCGCCAGATGCGCCACGTGCTCCGAGTGCGCCAGGTGTGCCGCACAGTCCAACCGCGCCAGGAACGCCATGTTTGGGGCACGTGCAGAGTGCGTCAGGGGCGCCTGCGCACGTGGCAGCACACATCGGGAAACATCTCGGCCCCCACCATCGTTGTCGAAAACCAATGCCCATCATTGTGTCTGGTGGGCTTGCGCGCAGCAGGCCACGCGCCACCACCCCCAGGGTCCCTGTCAAAAACCACTTCACAGTGATCGCGGGATGGCCGCGCATGATCCAGATGTAGCTGCGAGGTGCATGTTGGATTGATTTTGTCAGTGTTGGTAGCCCTGCGCGCAGCAAGGAATATGCTGACACCCCCGCCGTCTTTGTCAAAAGCAATACAAAGTGTTCGCGGGCCTCACGAACATGACTCAAGACTTTGCCCCCAACTGTACTTTGTACGTTGTTTTTGACAAGGATGGTGGGGGAGTGGGGGCCGCATCGGGTTGGCCGCGCATGCTCCAAATTTGGAAGCAGAGTGCGGCTTGTATTGTTTTTTGCAAGGGATGGTGGGGTGCGGGACGTCATGGTGTTCTTATACTTCCTGGTTGGGCGCCAGTCGCCAGAGGGGAGGGGGTGTATATTAAGAAGGAACAGTGATCAACACACCTCCTAGATAGCAAGCCGTCTAGCTCACTCCCACCCGCTCTCCCAACACATCAGTAACACCCGAGCCTCAGCATGTTCAGCGGTCGTCTGTGGATGGACAGCTACTGGGAACCAAAACCGACCCCAGGTGCGCGACGCTTGGGCGAGGTGCGCCACGCGTGCCAGGCGCGCCACGCGCGCCAGGTACCCCTGGGGCCCGAGCGTGCCAGGCACGCCTGGTGCGCCAGATGCGCCACGTGCTCCGCGTGCGCCAGGTGTGCCGCATATTCCAGCCGCGCCAGGTGTGCCACGTTTCGGGCACGCGCGGAGTGTGTCAGGTGCGCCTGCGCACGTGGCAGCACACATCGGGAAACATGTCGGCCCCCACCATCTTTCTCGACCAGCAATGCCCATCACTGTGTCTGGTGGGCTTGCGCGCAGCAGGCCATACGCCACCCCCAGGGTCCCTGTCAAAAACCACTTCGCAGTGATCGCGGGATGGCCGCGCATGATCCAGATGTAGCTGCGAGGTGCATGTTGGATTGTTTTTGTTAGGGATGGTAGCCTTGCGCGCAGCAGGGAATTTGCTGACATCCCCGCCGTCCCTGTCAAAAACAATACGAAGTGCTCGCGGGCCGCACGAACATGATACAAAACTGCCCCAAAGTGTACTTCGCATATTTTTTGGCAGGGATGGTGAGGGGGGCCGCATCGGGTTGGCCGCGCATGCTCCAAATGTGGAGGCAAAGTGCGTTTTGCAGGGTTTTGTGACAGGGATGGTTGTGGGGGGCCCTCATGGTTCCTGGTTGGCCGCTGGTCGCCTGGGGGAGGGGTGTATATTAATTGGGAACAGTGATAACCCCCTCCCCCGAGCACGGGAAAGATGAGTTTTGGCAGAGACAGGACACAAGTTCGTTACACCACCTGAGCGTAGAGGACCGGTGTGACTTAGGTGTTATGTTTTTGAAGGCATTTGAGGTCCACGGTGCCGTATTTTTGAAAAAAACCTTGACGTCAGAGCTTTGGGCCCCCTATCCATCTCCTCCCTCCAGCCCTTTGTGCCTTTCCCGCTCCGACTCCCCGCCACAGGGATGTGGGGGGAACGAGGGAGAGGCGATGGGTGACGGCAGGGGAGGGGAGGGGCGGGGGGGCAGAGGAGGTGGAGGGAGGGCATTTCTGTGCCCGGCGGTGCGGAGTGGCCAGGGACTGGCGGCAGTGTCGCCGACCCCGCAGCCAGGGGATGCCAGTGTGGGCGAACGGCAAGGGCAGGTGGCTGTACTCCAGCCCCGTCGGCACCTGGAGAGCCTGGGGGAGGGCGGCGGGGCAGCCGGGAAGCTGGGGCGGGGCGCGGAGTCAGAGCGGCGGATGGAGCGGGCTGAAGCGAAGGGGTCTGTCGTTGTGTGGCGGGGTCTTGGTCGTGGAGGGTTTCGGATGTGCAGTGGGCTTGGAGCCTGTTTTTGCAAGGTCTGGGCGGCAGCAGCCGTGATCGGCCCTCTCCCTCGCCCCCGCTGCGATGACGTCGCGCTATTGTGCGCTCATGTGTGCAAAGATTTCCGACGCAATCTTCGAGGATGTCCTGAGATTTCCGGCGGCCCCCCGCTGTGATGTGATCGGGGGGGGGGGACGAACTCCCCCCCTTCCCCCCGATCACGCCCGTCATCGAGAATTAGAAAGAGTAGTCTCTTGGGTTTGGCAGAGCGGGGCTGAGGCGGCCAGGCTGAGGAGGGTAGGGGTGGTCTGTTGTGCGCTTGGCGTGGTGGTGGTGGGTGGGTGGTGGATTCTTGGATGATTCCTTTCGCTTTGCGGGGTCCACTTCGTCGCCTGGCCCCTTCGGAGGCCGTCTTGCGGGGGTCGGCTGGGGGTCGGCCGAAGGTCAGGCTGGGCCCCGGGGGGGCGTAGAATTTCTGGCTCGGGGTCTCTGTGTGGGGAATTCCGGGAGTTCTAGGACGACAGTCTCACACGCTGACTGGTTGCGTGGGTGGCCAGAGGGCGTATGATGCATCCCGGGCAACGGACCAGAGGCTAGATGAGCCTGCCGGCGGCATCGGGCTGGACTCTTGCCCGAGGGGCGGCATCCTCCAGAGCACGTCTGACCCCCTCCCAGTGCTTCCAGTCACCACCCACCAAACCACCCCAACCCAACCCGAAGGTCCAAATTTATCCTCGATTTCCAGTGGGGGGGGGTCGGGGAACGTTGAAAAAACACATGGGATCCGTACCCCCCCCAACCCGAAATTGGGGTCCAATTCGGGTCTTCGGGTTGGGTTGGGGTGGTCTGGTAGGTAGTCATCCAGGGAGCTGCATCCTCTCCATCCAGCTCGTGGCTCAACCCTGGCCGAGGGAGTGGTATCCTCCACACCAAGGGGCCATCCACGGCGCGTGGAGTCGCGCACCTGGTGGCGCTCGCGCCTCGGCCCGGCACCGGCGTGAGGAACGGCACGAGCATCTGGCGCTCCAGCAAGAGCCCCGAACCTTTCGCGTGCCCCCCACGTGCTGCCGCTTATGCCAGTCTGGTCTCGACCGTCTCATTCGAGGCCCTCTACACCTCGTCCCAGCTACTCGGCGGCGAGCCTGGGGGGGAGTGAGAAGGGGCGGGCCTTCTCAGAAGGCTCGGAAGTCCCCCGGCTCTCTGAGAAATTCTCTGAGCCTTCCCCGAGGACACACACACAACGCTTCTCAGAAGGCCAGATCCCTTCTGAGAAGCCCCGCCGCCTTCTGAGAAGACCTGACAGGCGGTTTGCTGAGATCCTGTGGTCCAATGACGATATTGTGTTAAGTCAGGCATGCCCCTCTACAGGAGGAATATTCAAAATTATCCCAGTGCGACCCTACCTAGGAGTTGGAGCCCCTGGGAAAGCAGCATTAGTAGTAACAGTAAAACTAAGCTAAAGCTAAGGTAAAGCTAAGGTAAAGCTAAGGTACAGCTAAGGTAAAGCTAAGCTAAAGCTAAGCTAAAGCTAAACTAAATCTAAGCTAAAGCTAAGCTAAAGCTAAAGCTAAGCTAACGCTAAGCTAAAGCTAAGCTAAAGTAAAGCTAAAGCTACAGCTAAGCTAAAGCTAAGCTAAAGCTAAGCTAAAGCTAAGCTAAAGCTAAGCTAACGCTAAGCTAAAGCTAAGCTAAAGCTAAGCTAAAGCTAAGCTAAAGCTAAGATAAAGCTAAGCTAAAGCTAATCTAAAGCTAAGCGAAAGCTAAGCTAAAGCTAAGCTAAAGCTAAGCTAAAGCTAAAGCTCCCAGGGGACTGGGGGAACCGCGGGGCGGGGACCGGGGGAACCGCCCGGGGCGTGTAGCACTGCCCGGCCCCTTTAAGCTAAGAGAGTAAGAACCCTCTAGGCAGAGCCTAGGTAGGGAAATAGTAAAAAATAGTATGGGGACGATTGTTATACGATATTTTTGGAGTATTATTGAGTGAGTGTTTGTTGACAATTGATTCATCCAAAACCTGCCTGTAGGGGGACATGCCCGACCTAAATCTCGTGGCCAGCGCGCCGTGCGCGCTGCAGCCCCGAGGAGCATCGGCGGCTCCCAGGCCCAGGCGAGCAGGTTCATCAGCTATTCGGCCCACCTCTTCAGCCAGGCCTCGCACATGGGGGCCATGCCAGACCAGGTGGCAACCCACCGCCCCCCCCTCTCTCCCCCCCTCCCTCCTCCGCCCCCCCTCTGTCGCCCCCCCCCCCCCCTCCCCACCCCTCCCTCCTTCCGCTTATGGTTCTGTAGAATTAGAATCAATGTGCGCGGCGCTGAGGCGAGAGTCACATTTTGAAAGCCACCCGCCCTCCATCAGTGTAACTGTTGCCAGTTTCCTAGCTTCAAGGTCATAGATGGTGAGGAAGTCTCAGGCGGAACGCCCGACCCGCTCTTTCGACCAGCCTCGGGGCGTGACAGGGAAGAGGTACTTATAAGGGAAAGGAATGGAGGAGGAGGAGAAGGAGGAGGAGGAGGAGGAAAAGGAATGGAGGAGGAGAAGGAGGAGGAGGAGGAGGAGGAAGAGGAGAAGGAGCGGTCGCCACGGGTTTGATGTTGCTTCAGGGGGTTCGACGTTTCTCCTTGGCTTCGGTGCTGAAGTATGCTGTGGAGTCAGTTGCTGGGTGGCAGCTTCATCTTGGTGTACTGCTGTTCATGGCTAGTGTTGGTGACTGGCTATACGTGTTATTGGGGCTGTCACAGAGCCCTTAGGTGAGCCTGCCCCGCTTGCATATTCTGGGGTCGTCCGTGCGCTGGTCCCAGAGGTGGATGCGCTGCTCGAAGCTGACGCAGTCTGCCCGTAGCACTCGGCGAGCCACTCGCACAGCGTGTCCCTTGTTTCATCGTGGCGGCGGACGAACCCCCGTCTCACGGGGCACTTCCTGGCATGCTCTGCGAACGGATCGTGGTTCGCGAGCGACTCGTGCTGCCGTGGGCTGCATTGTAGCAGGGCCCGCCGTTGGTGCTGGCCGGGTCCTCGTAGAGCAGCCGCCGTCGCAAGGTCACGGTGAGCCCATCGCCCCCGAGCAGGTGTTGTGCTCGCGTGGGCGGCCCGAGCGCAGCAGATCCCGCCCCGCCGCGTGACTGGAGGCGCTCGGCTTCGAGTTCGGATACGGCGGGGCACCAGATCCCGCTCCACCAGCGGCGCGGGCGGTCCGCCACCTGCTGGCTGTCGTGGCTCAAGAGACGGGGGTCAATGCAAGCGGGGGTCAGCCAGAGCGCCGGATCCTGCAGGATCCTGCAGGGCCAGGTGCGCACTGACTTGGGTTTGGGTGCGTGATCCTGCAGGACCCTGCAGGATCTCACAAGGCCCGACTGACCCGGGTCTGCGTTGACCCGGAGTGCGTCCCCGAGGCTGTAATTCGATCTTATGCTTGACCATGCGCCTGGGGTCCCAGGGCGCCCATGCGCCGTCGGCGCGTCACCTCTGCCTCGGACGCGGCCGCCGTGAGTTTCGGTGTCGCCCCCTGGCGTGCCACAATCCCTCCCTCCCCACCTACCCACCCTCCCTACCCCTCACGCCTTCTCCTGTCGCCCTTCCCCCTCCGCCCTCCCCCCTCCCTCCCCTCCCCTCCTTCCTCCGCGTCTTAGCGGTCTATGATAGGCTCGTGACTGGGCAGGAGACGGGTGTGAGATCTCACCCGCACTTGGTGCCGATGCCAATAATCTACTCGTTGCATGTCTGCGCGTAGGTACAGCCAGCGAGCGCCGCCATCATCTGACAGCCGAGACGGCAATTCGGGAGTGCAATCCAACAAAAAGCCCTCCCTTCCCCTCTTCTCCCTCCGCAATTGCACACTACGGATACTATTCTCCTCTCTCCCCTGATGACGTCCAGAAGATGTCTGGCCCCCCTCTGCGTATTGTCTTTTCACACAGAGTACCCGTTTTTTTGTTCTTTCTTTCTTTCGTTCTTTCTTTCTGTTGTTGTTGTTGTTGTTGCTGTTGTTGTTGTTGTTGTTGTTGTTGTTTTTGTTGTTGTTGTCGGTGTTGTTGTTGTTGTTGTTGTTGTTGTTGTTGTTGTTGTTGTTGTTGTTGTTGTTGTTGTTGTTGTTGTTGTTGTTGTTGTTGTTGTTGTTGTTGTTGTTGTTGTTGTTGTTGTTGTTGTTGTTGTTGTTGTTGTTGTTGTTGTTGTTGTTGTTGTTGTTTTTGTTGTTGTTGTTGTTGTTTTTCTTTTGTTGTTTTCATTAATATTATATATAAAGTTGTTCCCGCTGAAGCGCTGGCCTCATTTTCGGGCTTCCGCTCGTTCCGAATCGTACTCCCGCTGCAGCGCTGGCCTCATTTTCGCGGTTCCGCTCGTTCCGAATCTTTCTTCCGCTGCAGCGCTGGCTTCATTTCCTGGTTTCCACTTGTGCTTTTGACAATCCGATTTTTTTTGTTCTTCAAAATGGTGCTCCCGCTGCAGCGCTGCCCCCATTTCTGCGTCTCTGGTTGTTCCAAGACGTGCTCCCGCTGCAACGCGGGCGTTTTCGGTCCTTCCAAATAGGCCCCAAATTTAGAAAATGCACCCCAGAAAAAAACACATCGCAAATGATTCCACATCTGGTTTCAATTCGCTAAAATTTTGGGCCGCAGAAGGCGCCCCCACCACTTCGGGGCGGCGTTGTTAGGAGGAAGTATCAAGCGGGAACCCCGTTTCTGCTTTCAGAAGGCGATGTTGCAAGCAGAGCCAGCGGGTGTTCTCCATCAGCCCCGCCTTGTGGGGAGCTTCTTGGGGAGCGCACGGAGCCAAACATGGAGCCGCGACTCCAGACCGGCCCAAACCCTTCGAAGACGATACACTCACCCTCCAAGGAACCCGGTGCCCTGCCATGATATGCTGTGCGGTGTTCTGTTCTGCGTCGCTGTCCGATGCCATGCTTTGTGATGCAATGCTTTGTGATGCAATGCTTCACTACGCAATGCCACGCCATGCTATGACATTCTACGCCCTGCCGTGCTCTTCTACGCCATGCCATGCCGTGCTCTACAATGCATCGCGCACCCTCTCGCGATCATTGCCCTGCTCGACATCCGACTGTGCGAGTAGAGAGGAGATCTACGCCATGGTAAGGGCTGGGAGGGAGGGGTATGATGTCAGTCATGGCGTGAGCGCACCTAGCTTGCCTCCCCTCCCCTCCCTCTAACCCCCTCCCCCTCCTCCTTCCTCCCTCCGCCGCGGGTGTGCGGTGAGGGGGGCAAGGGTAGTCCCCAACAGGCACGGGGGAGCCGGCGGGGTTGTTTCTGCTACTCCTGGTTGTGGGGGTGATGCTGTCTGCGCCGACTCGCTTCCCGTGGCCTCTTCCTCCCACCTCTGCGTCGCTCTCCTCGCTTCGGTGCCAACTTCGCTTGCAGGGGCATCCCTGTGAGCCGTCTCGGGGTCTGAGGTGGCCCATTCTTGGTTCACGCCAGCAGGAAAAGGCCGGCAGAGTTCGAGTTTTTGGGGTTCGGGAAGGTTAGTTAGTTGGGTTTTTTATTGTGCCTCGGGGGCTGTTTTCGGGCCCTGTGGCCGCGAAAAATTTATCCAGGGTGAAGAGCTGCACCAGATGGACCCCTGGAGGGGTCCGGGGACCGATTTTGAGCGGATTTGGCTCCATCCCCCCCCTTCCTGACCACTTTTCTTGGGTCCCCACCAGTTCCGTCCCCCGGCCTCTTCCAAGGCATCCCCATCTTTGCCTCGAACGCAAGGGGTTCGCTCCGACGCCGCCGACCAGAGAGGGGTCAACTCGGCGGCACCCCAATAAACTGATACTATATGTGCGTCGCCCCCCCAAGGGGCGACGCTCGCACCGAGAAATCTTGTAGTATATGCGTCGTGGCTGGCGCTTTTTGGCCCCACCGCTCGGGACACGATATACTACAAGATGGGTATACTACATGTTCGGGTCGGACGCGCGCGTCCAAGGAGAACATACAGTACTAGTATGCCTTTGTGCGTCCCAGTCAACGTCCGTTACCCTCCCTGCCGACCCCCCCTCAACGTAGCGGTCACGTTCGTAGGTGTGGTGGGTCTCGCCTCCTCCTCGCGGTCGGCTCTCGTAGGCATGTGGTGGCGCTCGCAGGCTAGTGGAGTTTGCCGCGCACTTTGCATGCCTGTGGTGCTCACTCGCTGTCGTGGTGCTTGCATGCAACGTGTGGCTCGCGCAGGTTTGCTGTGGTGTCTGCAGGCCTGTTGCGGCAGCGGTGCCCTCCGGACCTTGCTGTTGGTCCTCGTGGTCTTTGGGTGTTCACAGGCATATTTTGCTGGTGCTCGCAGGCTTGTTTGCTGTGGCGCGTGTGAGGTATTGCAGCATGGTCTCGATGTGACGTTCGCAGGCTGCTGCAGAACTGAGCTGTTTCGTAGTGTTCCAAGAGCAAGAGGATAGCGAGGACAGAGACAGGAGGACCAAGGACGAGGATGGAAGAGCAGGAGGAAGGTCGAACACGACGACCACTACGACGACGACGACGGCGGCGACGACGACGACTCCGACGACGACGACGACTACTTTGGAGGCCTCTGGGGGTCGACGTCTTCGTTGTCGTTGTGGTCGTCGTCGAAGTTTTCGTCGCTGTGCTTGCAGGCTCACTGCGGTGCTCACACGTGCACGTTGTGTTAATTTGCAATTTATTATGATGCTGGTCCGCCGCACTGCTGTGCATACTGGGATGATGTTGTGGTGCCGTCCTGCGAAGTCCTGCGGGGAGACTGCTGGCAGCCTCCGGGGATGCTTCCGTCCGAGGGCCACTGGAAGCCTTTGGCAGAAGGCGTCCGGGCGACTTCCTCGCCGTCGTCGTCCTCGTCTTCCTTGTTGTCATCGTCGGCGTCATCGTCGTGGTCGTGGCCGTCGTCGACGACGCTCATCCACGCTTGCATGGGCGCCGCCTCAACTCCCGCCGCCCGTCGCTGCCGTGACCCCCTCCTCGCACCTGAGGAGAAATCCGTTCCGGAGCCTTCCGGAACGCTCTCGGAGCGTTCCAGAACGCTCTGAGAAGGCCGCGGCGCCCGAGACACCCCCCAGAGCCGCCGCATATCAGAGATCCTCGACTTATCCTCACCCGATTTTACCTTCGTCCTGGCTTCGGCATCTCAGCTCCCCCCCTCCGGCCCCCCCCCCGAACAGATCTCACCCCCCAGGGATGAAAAACAACGCGCCCTCCTCGGCCCCGTGAGGGCTCGAA